CGGCTCCCTGTTAACTCATACTCTCCGTTCTGTAGAATCTCTTCATTCCCTGTCTGGGAAGGTGGGCGAGGTGACATTGTCGCTGGTTAGAAAGTTGAAAATTGCTTCCTGCGAAGCCTTGTCGGCCAGTTGGCCTTATGGGTTTTGGGACGCACGACTACGCAAGTACCGGTATAATAATTAAAATCTTTGCGTAAAAGTCACATTCCGGTACGGTACTGAATGATTTAAATCCTATTAAATACGCATGGTAAGGCGCGGGCAGGAAGTATTTATTGTCGAAGTAAGTATTGATGAAGGACGTGACTAATATGTTAGCTCATGTTACCAGGGTTCGCTAACCAGTCACTAGGGTTCTGGTTATTGGTTAATGGTTGATCAACCAGTCAAACTAGGGTACTGGTTATTGGTTAATGGTTGATCAACCAGTCAAACTAGGGTACTGGTTAATGGTTATTGGTTGATCAACCACTGGTTATAGGTTATTTATAGGTTGATTAACCAATAACCACTGGTTGAACCAGTGGTTATTATCTAGGCCCCAACATGCAGTGCAAGACTTGTGTGTAGTTTGCTTCCACCCCATACAGTTGCCCAGGTTGCCATAGCCCCAATCAAGTTCATGTAGGTCCCAACATGCAGTGCAAGACTTGTTTGTAGTTTGCTTCCACCTCATGCAGTTCCCTGTGCACACCCTAGGATGCTGCAGCCCTTTTCTCTCATCTTCCTCAGCCTTCTTCTCTTCCTTAGAGTAAAACTCAAGTTCTTCCATCATTTCAGTAGTGATGTCCTCCACAAGCTCCTCATTAAAGACAAACAGCCTGGACAGTAGCTACCTTGCTTGGACAGTAACTACCTTGCTCGAAGGACAAAACACAGTCTGGACGGTAGCTATCTTGAAGGCAAATACCTAGACAACCAGTCGAATCAACCAGTCGAATCAACCAATGACCGGTAGAATCAACCACTCGAATCAACCAATAACCAGTAAAATCAACCAGTCAAATCAACCAGTAACCAGTCAAATCAACCAGTCAAAAACGTACTGGTTACTGGTTATCGGTTGATCAACCAATAACCAGTGGTATTGACTGGTTAGTGGTTTTGGTTGATTCGACTGGTTATTAACCAGTCAACCAGTAACCAAAACCAATAACCAAAATTACTGGTTAGCGAACCCTGTTGACCACTGCTGGTTCGCACACCCTGTTTACGAGTGCTGTGGGTACAGCCTTTAAATGGTTTAGGAACATTGTTTAGCCAGGGGCCATTGTGATATATCAGTGAGCAATTGGGGGTGTACTTTTTCAAGAAGCGCCTCCATCGATATCGCTCACTCCACACTCTACACAGTCTCTATTATTTCTTTCCATCTTCCATCAGGACATTCTAGCTAAGTCTAGCTGATGCTAAAAAGTCGATAGATAGATAGATGATGTTTTTTAAATACCAGGTACCGGTACCTCTATGGCAGTAAATGGTTTAGCCTTTCAAACTACATGGAGGTCAATGAAAATGGCCATCCTTGACCATCTTCTTCTTCTTGCTCTTCGGATCATTGAGATTCGATTCATTGAGAAACGGTATCAGGCAATTGGCTGGATGGGGGCTCTTTATTCTTTAGGTTGACTGGCTGGCATGGCTGGAATAGAAAGGTACTGAGAGTACATTGGTATCAGCATGTTGCAAGTCACATCAATGTAGGGAGGACTGCAGGGAGGTGGCGAGGTAATTAACCAACTGGAGCGAAGCCCTGTGCTTCGAGAGCAATCAAGTCAAAGCCCGAGCTCAAAAGGTTGCGCGACAACGAAACTAGCACGTAGTAGCCAAAGCAAAGGCTTCAATAGTCACTGCCGCAGTTTCCCATTGTTGCGTGAGTGGCACACCCATTGGCCATTGAGGCAATAGTGGCTGGACCATAGTCTTCGTTGGACAGCTTGTGCACACCATTCATGCTGTGGACAGTGGATGTGGGGCTTCCCCAACGTCCAAACTTTCGCGCTAATGGATCAAATGGCGTCTGAGTTCCAGCCATTTGGGTATAGAGATTTAAGGGAAATGTCACTGGGATATTGGTCACCTCCTGGTCACACTCTACTAGTCATACTGAGTACAGCCGTACTCATGCACCAGAGTTAAGTTCAGTTCAGCAAGGCTTGACTGCACAGATTGATTGATTTGATCTGTACCGGTATCGTTGTAGTAACAGACACACAAGCACTCAGTGGATTGAAATTCAGGAGCCGAGCTGGGTAAATTAATTTGGCCTCTTGGGTCCTAAAAGTGAAAGTGGTTGAAAGTGTTGCAGAGCAAGCATTCAGAGCAAAGTAAGCGAGTCTGCCTCAGTGTTTCTTTTAGACTCGGTCACTCCTCGAGCGAGTTGTCTTCCATTCTTGCTTTCTTTCTTGAGCGTGGTACCGTACTTCTTCAAACGTTTTGTGTACGGATCTACCTGGTAGTACTACCCTTCTAATATTCAAGTACTTGCCAGTGATATCATTTGAGACACAGGAGCTATAGCTAGCAGCAGACTTTGCCACTGACCATGCAGGCAGAGGTCACCAAAGTGAAAGCTGGAGACGACCTGGCACCTAGTAAAAGGCAGGAAGCAACAAAGCAGCAATTGCTTTTCTGTTTAAAAAAGAGAGAACTGGCATCCGCAAGGCCATCCATGGCTCCCTAGCTAGCTAGCTAGTAGAGCTACCACATCCACCAAGCCACCAAGCAAACTTCGAAGCTGGAGGATCAAGTCTTCGACGAGATACGGTACACTAGATATTAGTGGAGTGGAGAGTTGTGCTCTGTGTTGCAACCCACTTTTCAAACAAAAAGCCAACCGACTGCAGCTAGATACTCATCAGCAGATTCGATTCTAAAACTTTTAATTTGTGATTTAAGACCTTTGTGACTGGGATCTTGTTCCTTAGTGCTGGCTGTCATCTTGGACAAGAAAGTGTCTGGTCACATGGTCATTTTCGGAAAGAAATGGTTTATGGAGTCACAAATAAAGTGAGACTTTGTTGTTCCCGAAGACGGCTGGATCTGGGAGCTGGCAGGTGTACTGTAGGTGGCAACTGGACTTTATGTGCAATTCTGTTCAAGCTGGTTAGCTGGTTCATCGATCGAACTATCGCAAGATCGCAAGCTCATGTTTCGGTCAGTCCAAGACCTGCTCACAAAATATTTCACACTTCACACTAGCTAGTCTAATATCATAAAGCTTTGCATCCTCACCTCCATTTCTCTCGAATGAAGGAATCACTTTCCACCATGACATCTACCGTTTCCTCCTTTTCTACAAACGCTGCCCCCAGTACCGGCGATTGGTCGAGTGAGCTTCACACAAGCCCTGTGGTGGCCGCACCTGTCAAGAACCGAAAAAGTCTGCAACGAGCAGCATCCATTCGAAAGAAACATGCCAAGCTGGTCGAGAGAAGACGCATCGAACGGTCCGAGTCTCAAAAGAAGCTCCTTGCTGTGGAGCCAGTCTCTGCCAGAAGCTAAGGCCATTCACAGCAAGAAAGAAGAAAGCTGAAGACTGAAGATGCTATGGGCAAGGCAGTGAGTGAAAAGTGAAAAAGACCGGCTGGCTGGTTGAAGAAGTTCGGACAATTGCTTGGGGCTTGCAGTGGCGCGGCAATCGTAGCTTCAGCGGATGCCAACACCCGGAGCCGGAAGAAATTTTACAGCGTAAATTGAATTGAACTATAGCAAATCGCCTTTTCAACTTGTTATTAATCGTTGTCTTGCCCCCCATGTAAATGCACATGTACATATCTAGCTAGTTTAGTAGTACAAACTACAAGTATGCAATGCTAGGAGGAGGTGGGAACCAACACCCAACACGCAACTGCATGTTTTGGATGGTGGAATCATGCATGATACAGAGCTGTCCCTTGGAGGTGGGGAGGTCGGAAACTTTGGAAGCAATTGTTACATGCGGGTGGATCTGCACATCCGTCCTGAGAGATGCATTCAAGGACACTTCAGGCTCCTTATTTTGAAACACAGGTCACAAAGGAATCATCGTCCAACGAATCTCCATCACTTAAACTGTGGGTCCTCTCCACCCATACAGACAAACTTGGTCTTGCGCTTCTGCAAGGAGAAGGTGACTCATGAAAACGGTGAGATGCCACTGTTTCGTCTTCAGTTTGACTGTATCGACTCGAACTCATGAGGTCACTTCCGTAGAGTTTTCTGCCACGAACGGCAACTTTCTTCTTCTTGGGAGGCTTTGTTGTCACAGATGTTGCAGTGGTAACGACTGGACCAAAAATGGAAAGGAGAACCGGAAGGAACACCAAGCCAACCAGCAGGCCCCAAGTGACCATGGCAAAGAATGCGATGAAAAGTGTCTGCGAAAAAAGGGCATGTGAGGTTGGCCTGGTTTTGTGCCTAGCAACACAAACAATGACGATGCATATAGTATCTTACCATGAAGATCTTGGTGGTTGAGAATGCCAATGGAATGACACCAAGCCAAGTGGTGAATCCACCTAGCATCATGGACACACCCATCGTTTCCAGTGTTTCTTTGACCTTTTCCTCCCTGGTCCTTCCTTTCGTCTCATAGTACCTTAGAAGGATATGCATAAGGAAATCGACCAATAGACCAATCGATATCACCACTGTGACGTATGTAACTGTATTGATGTAGATTCCACAGAATTGCATGGTTCCTAGAAGATTGAAGTAGAGCATGACAATCAGCGGCCCCACAAAGCACACGGCTGTCCAATGGGGTATGATCACGAATCCGACAACACACACAGCCACAACACCTGCGAGTGAATGATAAGATGGCAATTGTTAGTCGCCTGTTACGAAATGAAAGAAGTCCCCGGCTATCCAGGAAAGAAGTTTCTTGTACTTACCCCAGATGGTGGTGAAGATCAACTCTTGAATTGCCACGGTGTACTGCAGAAAGAGAATGGCAAGGAACGAGGGACAGGAAAGTTAGTGACGATTTGGAGTGACACTCAAGCCAAGACAAAACGCCAAACAAAGAAACGTACCAACTCCCAGTAGCCAAACAAGTCGTCGTAGGCAAAGAATGGGAGATCTTCGTTTTTTCCCAAGTGTTGGTTGATAGGTTGTGACAACGTAACATCCCTCTGATCCTCCAACATTGCAATCTGTTCATCGATGTGGTGCAGGTCAATATGTTTGATATTGAAGTAGCATCTGGATGTAGTGATTCTTCCTTCTTCATCGCGCACAATGTCCCATCCGTACACGTCGCGAATGACAGGCACGTTCATCATGACATCTAGCCTCTCCTCAAACGTGATGTTTGCTTCCATCACGGCTTGAGCCAAGTAGCACTTCTTGGATGTGCGGGGGTCTGGGGTTGTCGAAGAATTGGACCAGTCCATATCCTTGACGTTTTCATAGACGGAAAGGATCTCGTACATGTCTCGAATCCAACAGGTTTGAGGTTGCGCATCAATCTGCGGCAACTTGGATATTTCATCAATGTAGTCAAGCATCTGGCGCTGGATTTCTGGATCTGATTGATCCACGTCGCGAAAGTAAACCGCCATGGAAGCACGGAGACTCGTGTAGTCTTCCAATGCCCCCAAGAATGATCGAGTGTAACTCTCTTTTGGTACGTAGTCTGCCAACATCGCAAGAAGATTGTGAGCAAGCGACACCGACACAGATTGAATCATCCGCTTGCTGTCCAACGGATACGCACCTTCAATGTTAAATTGCTGTTCCAGCATGGAGGCAGAATAGATGTTCAGGCCGGTCACGGCCAGGAACATCATAATTACGACAACCTTGACACCAGGACGAAGCAGCTGTCTGGCGTACCACCGCATGGCACGGTCCATGAAGAATTCCTCCTGCTCTTTGGTCACTGCTTCTTTGAATGCAGCCGAGACTAAATCCATGGAAGATCCCGGGTGGGTCAGATTGCTGGAACCCCTTCGCTGGGCAGGTGAATCCGAGCCACCAGGGGCGCCCACGCAGCGAAAACACATGCAGCAGCAGAAACAGTACTCGCAGATACATCTCCAACAACCGCCCTTGAACAGCGTTCCGGCGACCCGCCTCTCGTCGAGCACCAAAAGAGCCAAGAAGAAAGTAACCTGGTGGTTGCACAAGAGGTTCAGGATGGTGGTGAGCCTAACTTGGCCAATCAAGCAAGCAATCACAGCTCGTTCTGGTTGCTGCCATGCACGGTGACTCACCTGGTACAAAAAGTCAAAGACGACGGTCACGCTAGCGTAAATGCACAGCCACCGAATTCCAGGCACAGTACTGATCACTCCGAGAACAAAGGCGGATGTGGTGGTGATGGTGGTAAGACTGATACTCAACCCCACCTCGTTGAGTGTGTCATGAATCCTCTGGACCACTCGTTCTTCCCGATCCTCCTCGATTGTGCTGCTGTGAGCATCCTGTTTTTGGGGTTGCCCACCACACTCGGCATCAAACGGGTAGCTGGCAGTCCCCGACGATGCCTTCTTGCTTGGACCCTTGCGCACGTGAGCTCGAGCGTCCTCTTCTTCTTCCTTTTGGCTTTGCTGCAAGCGCCTGAAGTATGCCCCCGTGAGGATGAACGTATCATCGAGACCCACGCCTGAATGTTGTTTTGAATGGACAGGCAGACACAACGTTAGCCATATTGTGTCTTCGGTGCGTGTGTATCTGAGTGAGGCCCGGGGATCTGATTCAATTCCAACAATGACTTACCCAATATGATGAATGGGACCATTTGAGTAATATTGCTAAAGGGGATTCCCCAGCAAAAGCACATGCCAAATCCGCTCATCTAGTTAGAAGGGAACATTATTAAGGGTGAGCGGTGCATAGCAAGCAAGCAAGCAAGCAAGCAAGCAAGCAAGCAAGCAAGCAAGCAAGCAAGCAAGCAAGCAACATTGCATGCGCCAGCTGCACACGCAGAGTTTGGTGCGTGTTGGCTCTTGGCTGAGGCACAAGCAAATAAACTTCAACTTACCAACGACAATCCAATGGTGGCGACCGATGCCAATCCGAGGGACGATCGACTGGCCCAGCACGACTTGTTGTTGTTGTTGCTGTTGTTGTTGCTGTTGCTGCCAGTATATTGATGAAATACAAACATGGTAAAGAACAACATGACAAAAAAGACGGCTGGCACGAGTGGCATGTCTTCCTCCATGGCTCGTTCGTATTCGAGTTCGTAGGCATAGGAACAAAAGAACTCGAGTCGCAACGATAGTGGATTCTGGTCAGTTCCTTCTTGTTGGATCCATTGCTGTTGCAATGCCTGCAGATTCTTCAATGCCACTTCTTGAAACTCGTATACATTGTCTGCCGGAGGAAATCCAATACTGACAATGAATGCGGGAACGTGTTGCAACCAAAAGTCTGGATCGGGACGGCGGCGGCGGGGTGGTCGTGTCGTGGCATTGCCGTCGCGACTGTCAAAGTCCTCATGAGAATCATCATGACTGTGGCTGTGACTGTGCATGGCCATGTGATGAAACCAAGACGGCTGTCCTTCCTTTTCATCATCGTGTGATGATGATGATGATGATGAGGCATCATAGGGAATCATCATGTTGCTGTGCTTGTCATCATCTCCGACCGCCTCGGGGAATAGTGCGGAAGAATAGTTGGCCGCCTTTTCAAAGGCTCCCAAAATGACTTCGTGAAAGATTGGAAATCCTTCCTTGGTGACGGACTGGGAGACGGCGCGAATGAGATCATCCGTCGAGTTGGCATTGTTGGGGTCGCTAAACTCTTGTTCAAAGAGAGTCCGGTTGTGATCCCAAAACTCGGTGACACTCCAAATCCAACAGGTGTTTTCTTTCGTGTCGGGATCAATGTACGTGGACTGGGCACAGAGTGGTGCATAGCCGGGTGTGTTTTGAATGATGCCCAAGGCTTCAAATGCTTTGAGGACGGCGGGTACTTGCAGGACATTGTCTCCATGAGAATGAATAATCAAATTCATTTCGAGTGTGTCTTCAAATCCCGACTGCTCGTCGTACCATTGACCGTGCAACGCGGGATAGCTGTTCATGGGAGTAAATACTTCGCGATGTTTGTAGACAATCTTGGCGTTGGTAAAGAGCCCGGCAATGACGACTCCAAAACTGATCAAGACTGTGAGAATGACAGTGGTCCACGGATGACGCGCCGCAAAGGTGCCCAGTTGTACCACACTGGCTCGCAGCCAACGGTGCAGTCCATCTTCGGTAAGACGCGTCCAGAGTGGACAAATGACGTCGTCCTTGTCGTCGTGATCATTCTCTTCTTCTTCATCTCGAATCAGAGGGGCTCTATCAGCAGTAGCTGTGGCTCCCGTCGTCATGGCGACTACTTTCAAAGTCGACGGTGTAGTGTCTGTTCTCCTTCTGAAATCTTGCTCTTGCGCGCTGTCAGCTTGATTCGGCGTGGCTTTGGTTCCAGCCGTCATGGCGACAACTTTCAAGGCTGGTGTATTGCTCCCATTATGCACGCTATTGTTGGGAGTGGTTTCATGAGCTAGCTGATCCCACAAGGATTGCAGGAGACTCGAAGACTGCCACAGAGAAAATATCCCAGCATCTGCTTCTTCGTCAGCATTGGTACCGGTACTACTAGTACTAGCCGTTACTACTACTTCGTCATGTCTGACATCCTCCGGATTGTTCTGGTTATGATAGTCCATTGTGCTCACCAAAAATCTTTTGTGGAAAGATGCTACTAGCTAGAGTAGTAGATAGCCGGTAAGGATGCGATCAACGAGTGGTACGAACTGTGACCTCTCAAAAGATACTCCTGTTTGTTCTTTCTTTCCGTATCATTCTCCTACATAGGCAATGACCAACCAACCAAGCAACCCATTCACCACCTTGTTTCTTTCTTTCCTTTTTGCGACGGTGGATCCAGAAGGCCCGAAGCTTCGTCATGTGCATTTCACGTGCCAAATTTTGTGATGTCTTTGATGAGTCAGATGCGTGCCTCTAAGTCCCAAACGACTTTTGCAGCATGCCAGCAATAAAAGACTTAACTAAACACGATTGTGGAGCACGCTTCAGAATCTTACAATCACGAGTACGAATCAGCAAAAACTACAAACGTCAGGTAAATCATTACAATAGCTATTACAATAATACCCATTCTACCTTTTATCCATTCCGCGAACGAAGCTTCCTGGCGGTAGAAGAAGAGTCGAGTCGAGTCGGAACACTTTCCTCCATTATTTGGCAGACTTCTCTCAGACACCGTTCAGATGCCAATTTGAACCAGGGCGTGGTACTCACACTGTTTTAGCATGTGAGTATGGGTACTGAGTAGTACTCACAATTCCAAAGTCAAGTGAGTATGGGTACTGAGTAATACTCACAATTCCCAGGGTCAAGTGGTACGGGTATCATGTGAGTACAGGTACTTTGTGGGTACTATAGAGTACTCACTGAGTACTCATAAATCAATTACTTAGGGAAATTATTTTGTTTTTTCTAGTTCTGGGCTGGGGGCTCATCAATCTTGTTGTAAAGGTCCACCATGGCATAAATATCACTGTCATAATCCTCCTCTTCACTCTGCTGGCAGTTAGCTTGAGGAGACCTTGGTCCTATTCTTAGCCATTCCTTTCTTGCATCATTGAGGCATTGTTGTAGTTCTGGATGAATGCACTTTTCTTGTAGCAAAGAAGGCGCATTGGAATGTCATGTCACCTTCTGTCCATTGCTGAGTTTTCCATCAAACATGTACAAGAACTGAAAACTTTTCTTGGAAGCCGTTGCTATTGGCATTGCAAAGATGCGCACAGCAATTTCATAAATGATTGGGTGTTGGTTTTGCCAGTTGTCTCCCACCATTCTTGTAAGTCAAAGTAGTTTTAACCACTTCAATGTTGTCCAACCACAATGTTCTTCATTGCCAAGTGTAGAGAGAACATCTTTACCGATAGGCTTCCGCTTCTGAGCCCGAAGAGCATCCAACAAGTTGAAGTCTTCGCTAACCATTTGTCGATTGCTTTCTGGATTGGGTCAACTCCTTCTTCCACAGGAGTATCCTCGATTCTCCTTCGTTGGCTTCCCTTGCCAATGCAAGGGGTCGTTGGTTCGTGGCTTGGCCTGTGGTTTCTTTCGGACTTGCATTTGCAGTCGCTTGTTCGGCTAGGTCGAATTTGTTTCCCCACATCTGCTTGACCCAGATCGTCATATCGTCGTGGCTCTCTGCCGAACACCTTTGCCCATCAGTTTGTTTGCCGGGAGGGTATCCGAACCATCGACAACAGTAGCAAGTGTTTCAAAGTCGTCAAGCATGTGTGTCTTACCGAAAGGATTACACATCATGGCGAGGAGTTTGTCATCCTGCTTAGAGCTTGAAACACAAGCACCATAGCGTCGCAACTCACTTGGGATTCGCTGGAATAGTTTCTGTGGAATCTTATGGAGTTTCGCGACTTTGATTGTCCTCAAACCAATCCTCTCAGTGGTGGAAGGAAGGTAAAGTCCTTCCGCGTCTTCTTTGGTTCATCAAACTGGGGAGAGCCATCAAACTTGGTGGGGTACCAACTTGCAGTGCATTCCACTTTTCAGTGTCATTGGTAGCTTTGCTTCGGCGAGTCTCTGGCACCCAAACCACCTTGGAGTAACAATAAGAAGCAAACACACGGTATGTCCATAGGCAGTATAGGAATTGGCACAATAGTGGTCCGACTGGACAAAGCAAAAAAGCTTCAACATGGGGAATTCCACCGCAAGGGTTTGTGCCATGACATGTACTTAGAATCCTCCACCTCCGGACATGTATCGTCAACAATGCAATAGTGGTGAAGGTTCCACCGAGCTTGGATAAACGAAGCGTAGAACAAAGCTTCTCCTCCGGCCTTGTATGGTTGGACATGCAAAAGGCCCTGGGTATCCGGCCAGCAGCAGAGAGTGTGTCCGTGAACTTCTTCCATCTCCCCTTCGATTTCTTGTTGGCCAACCACTTGGCGGTTTCCTCGGCTTGTTTTCGAATAGCCTGACAAGCATCAAACTCGTCAACCACTACCTTGTCCTTGTAGCGTTTCCTTTGACCGGTGGCATGCGAAAAAGCCAACTGAATCTCATGCATGGCACAGTAGGCATTTTCTCCACTCAGGTTGCGGCCCACCAATAGCGCCGTGTTGTAGTGTCATTCATGGCCTTGTAGATCATTTGGTAATCCTTGGCTCTGTAGTTTGTATGGGCCATGCGTCCCATCAAGCCATTGTTGGGACATTTCAGAAGAGCGGCTCCATTCTGCATGGCATAGATCATCATGTCTCTGAATTCAGGACATGCTTTGTGGTCCGTCAAAACACGAAGAGGAATGTTGTTGTTTGTAGAATACCGATGCTGTTTTTCTTGAAATATTGCAAGAGCCTGGCTTTTTCCAGCCTCTCTACTCATTTCATGAACCATAGACCTTGGCTCGAAAGGGTACTATGACTGATTGTGCTGGAATGTTGTTGCGGTACTTCCTGGGAACAGGAGGAGCTGCCATTGGACCTACAGCAACAGCCGCCACCGATCGATTGGCAAATGCGTCGTAACGGAATGCACCTCTTTCCTTTGTGATTGCTTGATACATTGGTAAGTGTTGTCCTCGAAGGTGTTTGCCAGGATTGCCAGTGCCATCGAATCCACCTGATCCACATTTCTTGTAGGTTGGCAGGAATAGACATTTGGAAAGTGACTTGCTGTATCCTCGAGGCATGCACGACACGCCACATATTGCTTCCCCGAAAGAATTCCTTGATGGATCTTTTGGTAGGCCGAATCATCCAAAGGTTGGAGGTTTTCCAAGTGTTCGGCGTCGGGAATGTCGACACTGTAGTAACATTCCAAACGCCAGAACGGCGGGTGGCTTGCGACTGAGCGTGGGAATATCTTGGCTTGCACGTACTGTGCAGTCAAATCAGTTCCCATTGCCGCGGCCATGGTATCATCGGCAGCTGCAGCTTCTTCATCTTCTTCTTCTTCTTCGATACTCACCTTCTTCTTGTTCCGGTTCTTCCAATCCATCGGCTCCATTGACAGCTTCCTCAATCGCTGCCTGTGACAAGATGTCATCATCCTCCACATCAGCCATGGTGACAACAGAAGAGACAACAGAACAAAAGAGTGGCTAGCTAGAGTCAACAGTGGCTCAACAGTGGCTTCAAAGCTTCAATGAACAAGCTCAATGTGAGAAAATGGGAAATTTATGGGGCTGCGAGTTGGCGAAATACTCACAAAATACTCACCGAGTACTCACCGAGTACTCACTGTACTCACTTCGAAGTACTCACCGAAGTACTCACCGAAGACTCAAAAAGTACTCAGATTCCGAGTCATGTGAGTACGGGTATTGAGTATTACTCACATTTTCGAGGGTCAAGTGAGTATGGGTATCGAGTATACTCAGTACTCAATACCCGTACTCACATCGTGTACCCACAGCGTGTATTTCATGTGAGTCCCACACCCTGATTTGAACCTTCCAGCAAGGTCGGGAAGCATGGGGAAATCCCTTTTTGACAGTTTCTCAAATGAGAAAGTAGTTTCTCAAATGAGAAACTAAGTTCTGAAATGAGAAAGTTAGTTTCTCATTTGGTCGAAATGAGAAACTATCTTTTGAAATGAGAAACTATATAAGAAACTGCTAGTACATTTGTTGTGATTTCTGCCAGAAATGAGAAACTATTTTATCAAATGAGAAACTAAAACTGTTAGTTTCTCAAATGAGAAACTAAAAATGAGAAACTAAAACTAAAAATGAGAAACTAAAACTGTTTGAAAAATTTCAAAACATCATTGGTGTTTCCTGACCTTGCAGGTTTGGCATTTATGCCAACATGTCGGTCACATAGAAAGCCTCCTCTAACTAAAATAGATTGTCACGACATGCCAAGGCATCAACGTCTTGACAAAGACTAACACCGGCAACAACACCTTGGCTTCAATCGCTAGAAAAAATATGCTGCCAAGACAACTCACTTGCTTTGTGGATTCGTGGGTTGCTCGGAATGACCGGTACAGAACCCAGATACACATCCAACCACTCTGACGGAAACTATCGATAGTACCGGTAGCGTACCGGTTCCGATACCGCCGTACCAACAATAGTGCCCCATCAACCCATCAAGATCAACGCCATGAGCCAGTGGCCGTAAAGCTGAGAGTGTCGAGTTGTTTCATGGTGCACGGAAGAAGCAACCAGAATGCATGGAAATACTTGAAGCAACGTTCCTTTGCAGGTTTGCTTCTTGCGAACAGTGGTACCGGTGGCTACTCTATTGCTTGCGGTACTAGCTAGTAAACTCCTTGTCGGAGCCTATGGATCTGCTACCCTTCTTGGGCAAACTCGCTCGAACCCAACTAGACTATGTAGTGCTGAAAAGCCAGCTGCCAGGCCAAACAGTGTAGCAATGCAACCTGAAAGTGCTTGATTAATTAAATCAACCAGTGCAAGTAAGTTCATTGTTGTATTCCACTGCCTGCATGGTCCAATGTCAGCGCAGTGGTGCAAGGCACTGGCAGCCAGAACATTCGTCGACCCATCACGACCATTCGTGCTTGCTTTGTGGATTGTTCTGTTTACATCATGTGCTCTCAGAATGAGCGGTTCACAACCTCGCTAGATACACATCATGATCCAACCACGGACGCGAACACTGTAGTAGGGAACCCGCCAATACCGCCGTACCACCAACCCATGCATCGAGATTACATGTAATTAACTCTAAGGTAGACTACGAGTACTGTACTCGTATGCTAACAGCTGCATGGCTGTTTTTAAAGTCGTCTTCCAAAATGCGTCATGATCCTGGGCCTCGACTCGACTCGACTCGACTCGACTCTTCACTCTCGCCATGGAACCAATACTGTACCGTGTACCGTAGCACCGGCTGGCATCCTTAGATAATCTACCCACTCTACATGTACCGGTACCGGTACGGTACTCTAAACCCCCTATCGTAGAAGGGCCATTGAGCCCAGCCGATAATTCAGTCAAGCGACTGCTTGTAGTGACTGTAGGTAGGCTGAAGTGTGAATACAGTGTATGCTGAAAGTGTATGCTGAAAATGTCATATCTTCCCGGAACACAAGCATGGTTTTGACAGTGCTCATGGGAGTCGAGGGTGATATTGTGGTGGGAGGCTCTCGGTTGCTCGAAGGTTACGATGATGGCATTCTGCATGACATGCCCAATGCAACTTTTCTCCGATGGTGCGCTGATGGATTGTGCTGGATTCGATTCAATTGCAGCTTTACTTGTTCTGTCACGGAAGGAGACCTGATAATCCAACCTTCTGCTTCTTCCTTCTGCAGGCTTGTCACTGGCTTGGTGCAATGTCTGGTTGGTGTGGTTCTAGTATTCGATTCATTTATGCTCTCCATGCAATCTACCACTGTCATTGACTTGGTTCTCAACTTGACGGCCTTGTACTTCATTCAGGAGGTAGATGAGATTGCTTTCGCACGTGAGTTGCTGGGCAGTGAAGTCTCCTTTCAATTGTGCTAACTTCAAAGAATAGTGTGCTGATGCCTTGGCTTGTTCCCTTGTTTAGTGGCAGATATGGGAATCCTATCGAGTCAGATTCAGGCGGATTGCGAGAAGGTCAGTGAGGATATGTCTCTTTTCTCACACCTCGTGCTGTCACCCCATGCTCACTGGGTTGACGCAATTCGTTCCTTGTGTCAGGACAAGAATTTGAAGCAAGTCTCGCCGCCAGAGTTCATAGCTCGGTGCACATTGTAGAAGCGGATCATGCTCATTCTATTGTTCATTGCACTGATCATCGGGTATGCAGTTGTTGTCAGTCGGCAAATGAATGGAGTTTATCTTTGTAAACATTCTTTCATTCCTTTTGTTCCGCTTCTTCTGTGTGTCAATTTGTGCTCATCTATCGATCACGGCTTTCTCTCTTCTCTTCGTACCGGCAGTATACATACAATTTGGAGACGCGTTCTTGCCCGAGATGGCGTATTATTCTGGCCAATTCCACCATCAAGGTTTTGGTTGGAGCGATAGTGAAAACGACCGTGTTACTTATATTGATGATACAGGTAAACTGAAGCTTGCCTACTGCAATTCGGCGACTGCCTGGACAATCTCCTGGGTAGAAAACGGATCGTCTTCGTGCAACTACATCTTCAAGAGTTCCAATACAGACACATTTGATGTTGCGGAAGTTGCGGAAGTTGACAATTGGGTGGTTAAGACCAACACCACAGGCGATGTGCCTGTCGACTGGCTGAAATTGGTTTGTAACGATTTCACCCCGGAGCTTTGCAATGAGGCGTATGGCATTTGTAAAGTCGACAACAGTACAGGCTCCAAATTGAACAAATGTGAATGCAAATCGAAAGATCGACAAGGCTTGAATTGTGATTTGCCGGTGACTTGTCGTTACTTTGATCTCGATGCTCGAACATCGGACGGACTAGCCGCTCAACCTGGCGGGTATTTCCTAACTCAAAAGGAGTTTGTGGATCTGAGTTTTGTCCCGGCCTTTGATTATGGCATCACAATGATGCGCCATCGAAACATGTATGCCCCTTATATGATGGACTCAACGAGGATGGAGTGTCCACAGTGGAAGCAAACATCACCACATTCATGCTTTTTTCTGGAAGGCGGTGGGTGATTTACACCTTGCCAGAGGGGTCGTCCGAGTATTTGGTCAACGACGAATTCATCTCTCTTCTGCGGGACAACGATCCTGCCAACAATCCGGTCGCAACGTTGACGAACATAAGCAAAACGTACCCTCACTTTGAGCCTTTGTTTTTCAGCTCTCCTGTGAACTACTTCGTACCGGTATGGATCCAGGCTCCTTCTGAGGCAAACTGGACACCTTGTATGCACTCGTCAGCAGAGGTACGGCCTAAAGGTGCTTAATTTTGAAACACGAGATCCATCAGTCAACAACCCCCAAGATTTGATCAATACTTGGTCAAAAGTCCTCAAACAACAACACTCACATGTAGGTGGGGGAAACCTATTGGAGACTTTTTGCCAACTCGATTATTGCTACAAGAGTTAGCTTGATACCGGTACCGTACTACATGTAGCTAGTTCAGATGAAAACCTGAAGTGCCGTCGCTGCGTGGGAGCTGCTCCGACCACCGGAAGCAGGTCAAGTTGGCTTTCTACGGTAGTGTTGAAACGCATGATGTTAGCTGTAGACCACTAAGCTGTAGACCGCTCTAGCTATCATAGCAGCCGTAGATCAATGGTGGCGACGCTCTTGTCGTCGTCATCATCCGAGTCGAGTCGTCGCACGCGGAAGACGATGTCTGCGGATTGCTGTTTCGGTTATTGCTGTGCGTTGCCATTGCTTTGATGATTGGACGAAGTCATGTGCACTCTTGGGGTCCTGTCCGTGTCCTTCCACGCCGTTGTCCACTGTACCGGTATGGAAGCTCAGCTCGATTCGATTCTTATTCTGCGACAGCGACCGAAGCTAGTAGAAGAAAGGCCTTGGGTGGTGGCAATCGACAACAGCAGATCAGCCCCAGCATGACCCAGAGAACCTTTCAACACCAAGCCAAGTTGCTCTACCGGTATACGTTCGCCCAAGAGGTGATACGAGAAGAAATTGGAAGCGCTCAAATTACATGTACAGCGTAGCACACCCGACACCCGAACCATGCTTGACGGTTGATGTGGCGGAACGGCGGAACTGAGATCGACGGATCCAAAAGACTTAATGGTAATGTATTAGTTAGGGGTAGGGGTATGTACCTCGTGCTTATCAACCAACTCATGCCTCCCTTTTAAGAGGATCAGTGCGAGTGTCGGAGCATGGCTCAAGGCAATGGCAGAAAATTTGTCAACTTCAGCCATTGTGTAGTTTACCAATTGCCTTTGTAACCACTGGTTCATTCACGTGGACAGCGGGATGCCAGTTTAGCAGCGGATCCCTTTTGCATCTCCCGTTCCGGGCACCTACCAGAACTTTGTAGTCGGGCTGGATGAATGGGTGGAAAGCAGGGACGTGGGGCTGAGTAAGTAAGGCAAATTTCATCTTGCTTTGTATCAGACCAGAAGGCAAACAAAAATGGGCTTGGCTGGTAGTCAGTCCAGGGCGAGAACTTCTATGCTCGCGGAGAGAGCAGCCGGGTGGGGGCATGGGACCAGGCTCCGCTTTCAGCTGATCCTATACCTCGAAAACAAAGGAAAACAAAGGCCGGAGGTCGTTCAGTCAGCTTTGAAAGCAATGCCGGCAGAGAATAATTGTGGATCTCGAGATGGGTGGCTCTTGCCTCCATCCATGTTGTCCGCATTAGGCTTACGAAATGAGGGAGCCAGATGAGCTACAAAGGTACGCGAAGTATAGCATCCGGACTGGCACCACCCAACTAATCGTACCCTATGACCTTGAGCTAGCTAGGCAGCTACAAGAACGACCACAGTTGCTCGTTTCTTCATTTATGATTCAATTTTGGTATTCTAAATATAGTGATTCCATTGTTACAGTGTACAAAAACGTTGATACAGAAGCCCATTAGACTTCAATAGACATTGATGACTGATGAGGTTCCTCCTCCACCTCGAGCTCGTCAATTTCCGTCAAGGTGTCTTCAGCTTTGGACAAGGAACATTCTGATCCCTCACCCTTGCACTTCTTTCCGAGCAAATATAGTACGTAACATGAGTATGCCTGGGCACCATACAAGCACAATGTCATTGGAGGGAAGAAAAGGATCCAGAAAGCGCCCCAGCTGCCATCCATGACAACTTCTTGATTGTAGACCACAAAGATATAGTACACGGCTGTCACCGTTGTGATCATCGTCTTGAACACGAGGGTTTGTACAGCCGAAAAGTTGAACCAAAAAGCTTGCCACTTCTTGCTACAGAGTCCAAGGCGGTAAAGGAACAAGGCAACAAATGATGGTTGCTCCATGGTTGCATGGAACCCAATCAAAACAGCAAATCGAATGTAGACAATCTGATGAGTATCAAAGAAAGTTGCTGCAACGACCTGAGAGTTCACAATCGTAACAAGATGGTGAATAAGAAGTGGGAATCCAATCTCCTTCCGGTAGATGAGTTCCCAGATGTAGAGAATTGCAACCACTTGGATAGAAACCAAAAGCCATGTCATTTGAACTTCAGAAGTTGTGTCCTTCCCTTGGAAGATTATGTCTGCTCCACCATAGATCTGAGCAGCAAGAGCAACCGTTGTGCCCACAAGCTGCAGGACGTAGATGACAACATTGTCCTGCTTGTTGGGGTCTAGTTTGGCAAAGGAGGTTTGAAGTTTACTGCCAGCCAGACGCTTAAAGAAGACCCTGGTAATGTGGGAGAGGAACCAGAGCATCAAGAAGTAGTTCAGGCACCAAAAGGGATAGTGCTCAGTGCTGTAAAGGTCGAAGGCCAGAGCAGCGGCATGGTCTTGCTGCATAGTTGTGTTAGCGTTGGAAGCCATCAGATATAATTTTGAGAGTTTGGAAAAGTGAGCAGACGAAGCCGAGCTGCTGGCTAGGCTGAGTTGCATCGAAGCGTAACCATGTTCTGGAGTACCATGGTACTCCAGAGTACTGGTAACCATCATTCCTTCATGTACTTTGTACGGCACACTGCCGGAGTTGGCATACGGTAGCAGAGCACCGCAAGCGCATGAAACTTTGCATGCCTTTCGCAAGGCTTCGACTTCCCGTTTGTTTAGAAATTAGAAACCCAAGCAATGTTGTGTCCTCCTTATGCATGTCTCAGGGCCTCTCTTGTTTTGGGACTTGACATTGTATGCATACTGGTGTATTCGCGCGGACAAGATTAGGCAGAGACTCCGGATACCGGCACTCTCACACCTGGTATCGGCACTGTTTTGTCCGTGTTGATGGCTATTTACCTTTTGTTTTCCGTAAAATACTCAATTATATGTAGTTTTGACTGCTTCTTAGACTTTTTTGGTTATTTTAAGGATATTATGATTTCTATTTTTGTTTTTTAATGCAAATTGCACACCTGGCTTCATTCTGCGCACGAGTGGACACCGCCCAGAAACTTGAACATCTCTGATATCGGTATCACTAGCTAGCTAGCAAGTAGCTAGCTAGTAGCTAGGTAGTTGCAAGGAGTGTTTTCTTCATCTCCTTTTAAAAAATGTGTTCTTGAGCTGCGATTTTGCGGTCGTTGGCATAGCTAGATGCCCTCCCGAAGAGGTACCGGATTCCTTGAGGACGCCAGCAGTGAAGGCTGGCAAGTTCGAAGAGCTGGGACCAGCCTTTAAACGAGAGAAGACGAAAAGACCTTGCCATCAATCATCAATCACGCATGTCACCAAGTTCCTCCCTGTTGCTGGAATGAGTGTGGCTGTTTTGGTCGTCTTCAGAGCCAACTGTGACAGTATTGTCTGAAAAGTTTGCAGTTTCCATCGTAGGGTTTCGTTCAATCAAGAACGCGCCATGGTCCTCCCCAAATGGACAGTGGGTTTCCTGGTTTCTGCAGCCTGAAGCCACTGCGATAGCACTCTTAATCTGAATTTCGTGGTCGTCGCTGTCACTTGGTTTCTCGTCGTCAGAACCAACTGTGACAGTGTCGTCGACTTCTTCCGAAGAGGTTGCGTTTTCCATTGTACGGTTTTCTCTCAGCAAGGACGAGGTTGAGGCTTCAGATCCCCAACTGGGGGCTTCCTGGATACTGCAGCATGAAGCCATGGCTGTGCCTTCATTGCCGTGGTGGTTTGCGGTAGTGTCTACCTTGATCAAGGACGAGCTTGAATCAACAGATCCCCAACTGGCGGATTCCTGGATACTGCTGCAGGACGAAGGCATCACCGATGACGAAGGCATCACTGCTGAGTCCACAGGATCAACTATACGCTGAACACTGTTAGAGGATTGATCCGATAGGTCTCTGGGAGGGCATGGAGCAAGATGATTGGACTCGGACAAAACCAAGCCGTCCGCCCTCTCCGATGAATGATCGTCCGAGTCAGTACCGGGAGGCCTAGGAACGTGATGTGGCTCCTCCTCGGTTGGATGGTGATGTTCACTTGGATCGCTATCATTGCTTCTTGCAAAGATGGAATCCTCGGAGGCTGAGTTTGGCTGCAGCAGTAGCTTGCGCGTGGATTGCAATTTGTCCGCGCCTTTGCTTGAGGGAGTGTCATCATCGCCCCAGCTGGGGGAGTGCGGGAGAATTGCTGGCACCGAAGGCTTGTCATTTGTAGCATCGTCGAGTTCTACCAAGCGGTATGGATTCTTCGCTGCAAGAAGAGCTTTTACGGGAGGGCTACTGCCTGCGCTGCTGGTGGAGCGTGATCCTGGAAGCAGTGAATGAATGGCATTCACTTTGGTTATGGACTTGCCCAAATTGTGCACTTCGACAGAAACGATGGGGCCCCATATTGACAAGAGCGCAGGCAGGAGAGCCAATCCAATCAGAAGTCCCAACGATACCATCCCGAGAAAAGCGACAACTGCGGCCAACAGCAAAAAATGAGAATTTTTGCGTGTCTTTGCGGTCGCACCAAATTTGCCCAAGGCACACTTACAGATTGTCATAAAGATGGAAGTTGTGGACAACGCCATTGGGATGACACCCAGCCATGTTGTAAATCCTCCCAACATCATAGATGCACCCATTGTCTCGAGGGTTTCTCTGACCTTTTCGTCTCGCGTTCGTCCTTTGGTTTCATAGTAGCGGAGCAGTATATGCATCTGTTTCGCGTGGGGGAAATTGCTGGTGAGCTCAACATTGAAGACAAGCATGCCTGTGTTTGTAGCTTCGCGGCGCACAGATGCAACGCACCAGGAAATCGACAAGCAAACCAATGGAGATTACAATGGTGACATAGGTGACAGCATTGATGTCAATTCCACAAAACTGCATTACTCCCAAAAGGTCAAAGTACAGCATGATAATCAAAGGGCCCACAAACAATGTCGCAGTCCAGTGGGGTATGATGATGAAGCCGATGCCACACACTGCTACAACACCTGGAGAAGTCAATAAGGAAGGAATGCGTCAGTAGCCGTGCAGCAGGGCACAGCAACAGCAGTGAAGTGAAACGAAGAAACTTGCCTGATATGGTTGTAAAAATGAGCTCGTCCACGGCCACAGCGTACAGTTCCCTAACAACAAAGCCGAAGACAAAGCCGAAGATCAGCGGCCGTGAAACTTGGTGAGCCAAGCCTTTCCTGCCTTTCTGCGCACTTGGCACCTTTGCCGTAACTTACCAGTACGTATAGAACGTGTCAAACGTGAAAAAAGCCCATTCAGCCTGGTTCTCGGGAAGCTGGTTTATGGGTTGGGACTCAGAAATTGCTCTCTGCGCAAACAACAAATTGACTTGCCCTTGGACGTCATCCAAGTCAAATTCCCGAAGGTACATGTAGCATCGTGATGCAACGATTTCACCGTTGTCATTAAAGACAATATCCTCGGCATAGAGGTCGCGAAGAACCGGAATATCCAGGACAAGACCCAACTTCTCTTCAAACGTCTTGTTTCCGTGATGCAGTGTGTGTATCAATAGATCCGCTTGGGCCTTTTGATCCTCTGGCAACTTCGACAGGTCAACATCTGTAATATCACCAGTCAGAAATGGCTGCATGTCCACGAACCAACAGAAATCGGGATCTTGATTGATCTGGGGCATTGCAGATAGCTCAAAGACGTAATCCCTCATCTGCTGTTGTATTTTGGGGTCAGATTGGTCAACTCCCCGAAAGTAAACCTCAAATGTAAGCACCAAGGCCGCATACTCATACACTTGATGGATGTACGCATTGAGAAGGATAACATTAGTCGTTCTGTAGGTGGGTAAAAAGAAACACAATGAAAGCACTCGAAGGTACAATTTTCAGCCGGAACTTACGCTTGTCAAAGAAGCCCTGTGTGAAGCTGTCGTCTGGCACATAGTCTTGCGGATCAAACTTTTGCCTCAACTGGGTCGTGCTGTAGACGCACACCAGCATTAAAACCGTGCAGAAGATGATCACCGAATTCCTCACAGGAGGCTTCAGCAACGTTCTTGCATACCAGGCCATGAATCGTTCTATGAACACCCTCTTAGATTTTCCGTTGTTGCTAGCTGACTTGTCTTCGTGTTTGCAGTGACTGTCGTCGCTGTCGTCGTCATCGTTGGGTGGGACCCGCCGCCCAAACCACCCTTTCACAGTGTTGTACATCGGCACGACTATCGCCGAGCAAGATCGTCGTGATCCTTGTTGTATTGAAGGGGCCTGCTCCTGTTGCTCCTGATGCTCTTGTCGCACCATCGCCTTTGCTTGGGCAAGGACCACCCTTCGTTCGTCCAACGTAAGTCTATTGGTTGAAGTCGAACAACACGTTAGTTAGTAAGACGTAGTGTGGCAGGCAGAATCAATCATCGCGTTCGTGCTGTCAATCAATACTCACAGTGCAACAAAGTACGTCACTTGGTACAAGGAGTCGAACACGATCGTGACACTTGCATCTTTCGAGAGTCGCCGAATCGGATTGAAGCAGAGTGAGAGGAAATGGATGGAAAGGATGTCGAAGGACTTCAGACAGAAGCAACTCACAGAGACACAGCCATCGAATTCCTGGAATGGAAGAGATGATACCCAACATGAAGGCTGTTGTGGTAGTGATTGTCTGTGGATGAATGAGAAGATGGCAGGATCGAGCATCATTTGTCAGAGTATGCTATAGATTCTTGCTCCTTGCCAATCTTGCCCTCAACTCTGACTCACCGTAAGTGCAATACTCATGCCAACCTGGGTCGAAGCGAGATGCAAAAAGAGTCAATACACAGAAAGAAAACGAAAAAGTGATGATGACAGTGGAACTGATTCCAGACTGACCTCTTCCAATGTCGAACGAATTCGATTCACCACAACGCTATGGTCCCACAGCTGCTCGAGGGGACTGACATTGCCTCCTGCTGTGGTTATCTCTAAGTTCATGACTGAGTCGTCGCTGTCGTCGTCGCTGTCGCCGGAATTCTGCAACTGCTTCTTGGTTGCCGACCCTCCCGACGACTGTTCCTTCGCATCAAGGTCAAGTTGTATCTCTTCGCTTAGCCTTCGAAAGTAGGCTCCTGTGATGATGAATGTGTCATCCAAACCAACACCCAATATGATGAATGGTGCCATCAAGGTGATATTGGTGAAGGGCACCCCCAGGCAAAACATCAACCCAAAGCCACTCATCATAGACATTCCGATCGTTACTACTGATGCCAAACCAATGGTGGCCCGGGTTGGTGCATTGACCTGCTGCGAGCCGTACTGGTGAAAGATGAAGCAGGTAAATCCCAGCATCACAAAGAAGATGACGGGGACGAGATAAAAGTCCTTGTAGAGAGCCCTGGCGTACTCTAGTTCGTAGGCATAGCCACAAAAGAACTCGAGCTGCACGCCGTGGGGGTTCTCTTCCGGTGTCTGCTGTTTCCATTCATTTCGAATCTCATTGAACACATCCAACAACCGTTCCTGGTAGTAGTAGGAGTCATCAATTTCAGGCATTCCAATATTGACCACGTAGTTGGGCACATAGGTGAGGTATTCTTGCTTGTGGTGATAGTAGAAAATCTCATTGGCAATGGCGTTGTAGACAAACGTCTGATTCACCGACTTGAACTTGCCAAAGAGCGCTTCTTGAAACACGGGCGCACCATCCTGAAAGCGCTTTTGACTCAGTGCTCGCACGACTTCCTCGTCGGTGTTGATAGCTTCTTCGAACTCGGTCACATTGTGATGCCAAAAGTTGGTGGCGGACCAGATCCAACAGTCCGGCTCATTGTCGATGACATCCAAGTAATGGGACTGGGCACAGATCTCCTTGTAGCCGGTTCCGTTTCGGTAGGTATCCAAGGCAAAGAAGAGCCGCCGGATTGCGTCTACATTCATCACATCTTCTCCATTGGCGTGAATGATAAAGACGAAATCATTGGTATCGGGGAAGTTGCTTTTGGTTCGGATCCAATCCGAATGCAGCTTGGGCCGTGAATGCATGGGTGTGAAGATGTCATCATGGCTAAAGACAAGCACAAAGTTGGTGAAGAAGCCAACACTGACGATCCCAAAGGAAAAGAGCGTAATGAGTAGAATGCACAGTCTGGGATACTGCGCCGCGTAGGTCCCAAGTCCAACATTAAACTTTCGTATCCCTCGATGAACGATGCCCTCGGTCAGGTGTGTCCAGGACTTGCAGACTGGTTCGGGCTTCAGGTTTATCGAGTCACTGGAGGATGTTTCTTTGCAACTGTTGGACGGGTCATGAGACGGCGTCTTCAGAGGTCCTTCTTTGGGATCAGAAGCTTCGTCGTCTTTTCCCCGCTGCTTTCTCTGCTTAAACAGGGCTTGGACTTTTTCGCTGGTTTGGTCTTTGCTGTGATGTTGTGGTGGCGGTGGCGGTTGCCGGAGGCTTTCGCCCCTTTGTTGCAGATTGTGTGTCACCTTCATCATGGCAATCTTCGTTCGTTTGTTGCTACCTGGTACTAGCCAGTATCTATATCTTTGTAGTCAGTCTTAGGTGGAGCGGAGGTACGTGAATGTGTTTTGTGAGTTTTGTTTTCGAGCGAAATCGAGGTTCGGGGTTGCCAAAGGGGTCTTGGCAAGCTATTAATAGTGAACAGGAGCAGCTCGTCGGACTGGTGCGGACGTTGCTTCTTCTTGCCACTATCACTTCGAAACCGGCCCACGCTGGATATTAATATACAGTCTTTCTCGTTCGAGAATGTCGATTTGTGTCTTGGCCTTAAGAACAACAACCAATTCCAGTGCTAGAACGATAGTTGCCACTGATCGCGAAGCTCTGTTCTCTTGAGTTCTTCCGGGCTAAGATCACCAGCGCCGTTGTTGACTATTGTTGACGCTTCGACCTTTCCAGCTACTCAGCTAGCAATCAGCCCAATATCTGTAAGTACAGTTTATACAGAAGACTGGTCACAACCTTTTCTTTCACAGGATAGCCAGAGTCCTGCATTCTAATTTAATGTCATTCAGGCGATCGATCCGTGCTTGGCACAACCTGGGCTCGTCGGGAGTGACCAAAAACATTGGTGAAGCACATGCTTCGCACGAGCGCAACAGGACGGAACCAGGTCCACTCGCGCAAATTTCCCATGTGCTTAGGGTTCGAGATTTATTACCTCGATGCCACAACGAAAACAAACATGGAATGTGATCCGCTGAGCATCGACCTGCGCCTCATTTTTTCCTGCGATCAGGCCACACCCGGCATAAACTCTGCGGGAGTCAAACGCACAGAACTTCCAAAAATCCGCCAATGTTGTACAAGCATGGGCTAGCTACCTCCGGCGACAACCATGGGCCCGCCAGGAAACCACCAACTTTTGGTCGAGCCCGAAAAGCCAACAAAATATCGAACCGAGTTCTCCACAGGACTGACCGAGATAGGGTAGGCTGGTGAACAAAGATATTCCGCCAGGCCGCCTGAAATAAGAGTCGTTAAGCAATCGTTCGTAATTGTCGGTTCCATCGGCCGTCATTGGATCCAATGCTGTTACCAGAGCCATTGTTTTGTCTCGGTCTTTGATTGAGCTTGGCTGTATCAGATAGATTCCATTCCATTCTCATCGTGTGCAGCCGATATTCTCGTAGCAGCACAATAGCAGATTACCATGACAGAACAACGACGCACAACGCCAGGAATCGACCCCGGCGGCAAGAACGCCAAAGTTGGTCTAGGAGACGACAATAGTAGCTACACCTCCTGCGATTCCTCCGAATCCTCTCCCGCACCTCCATCTTCCAGTGCTGCCGTGGCATGCTTGGTTTGCACAGGAGTTCACCAACCCAATCGTTGTCCCTTACTCAAGATGGACGAGGCCCACCAAGCCAAATTCTTTCAAAGCATTCTTGAACGAACGGCATCTCATCCAGGCGACAGTCCTGGCATTGATCATGCACAGTCTTGGGCCTATCCCGCAACACATTCCAAAAAGTCTAAATCGCAGGCAAAAGAAGACCCGAGCCAACCCAAGTCTAAATCCCACCAGAAAGCTACTGACATGAGTATCTCCAAAGCCCAATCTTGGGCCTACCCAGCCAAGTCTTCAGCAAAGCCAGCAAAGCCAACTGCTTCTCGATCCAAGCCTCCAAAAGCGCCACAAGCCAAGCCTCCAAAACCTCCCTTGAAGGCAGCTCCACAGAAGCCTCCAAAAGCACAGGCACAAGAAGAGGCACAGCTGGAGTCCTCCGCCACCAAGAATCCTCCCAAGGAGGCCAAGGCCTCCAAGAAGACTGCCTCATCTGCAGAGGCTGGCCCCGTTTCCACGTGCCAGTCTTGGGCCCATCCAGTCAAACCACCTCAAGCCACTCCATCAACAGCAAAGGAGCAAGAAAATCGGAATCAGAAGCCTCGTGCCAAAGAAGATTCCTCGCAAACGGAAAAGGGCGTCATCGTCAAAGCCCAATCCTGGGCGTATCCAGTCAAGTCAAAAACTGCCGTCGAACCTCAAAAGCAACTGCAGTTGGACACTATTTGCATTGCGGATGACGAGGAAAAGCCGATAGCTACGCCAGAACGCCAAAACATTGGACACGAAAGCAGTAGCAGCAGCGAGTCTTCAAGCTTTCAATTCATCTCGCCTTCATCAGAAACACCTGGAGACGAAAGCAGCCGTACTGGTAGCACTCGACATGAAAACGTTTCAACATCGGGGAGCCACAGGAGTATCATTGTCAGAAATGACTCAAATTCTACTAGGTGTTCTCAAGGAAAGCCAGTCAAATCCTTGCATACCATGTTTTCCAAGGAAGACATGGCGTATACACTTGAACTGTTGAAGCTTGACATCCACTGTGACGATGACAGCACTGTCACTGTTGTCGACGAAGCAAGAGGAACGAAAAGTCATACCAGCAAGGCGGCAAACCTCCCTCCACGACCGCCACCAGTTTTCTACCTATGGACGTACTTTACAGAGGAGCTCATTCATGCGAACATGCTCAAGTGTATCGTCGCATTGAGCAAACATGCTTCCCGAAACCCGTACCTGTACATCTGCTCCATCATCGCTCTTTCATTTACACTTGCGGGTGTAGGTTTCTTCACGAACTTTAGAATGGAATTTGACCACGAAGTGCTGTTCACCCCAATGGACAGTCTTCCCAAGGTCCATGGGGACTGGATCTATGAAAAGGCTGGTTTCGAGGATGACAGTGACGTCAACTTGATCATTCACGCAGACGGCAAGAATATTATGCATATTGATGCAATGAAGAGGACATTTGAGGCGTTGGATACTCTGCGATCCACACCTGGCTATGACCATTTATGCTCAACATCTTCCCATCTGAACCTAAAAGGGAAGCCAGATTGCTGGATTTGGAGCACTACCCAGTTTTGGGAGCACAACTATGAAACATTCAAAGAGCAAGTCACCACAGATGAACAGCTCGTTGAAAAGATATCACAATCAGCGTTCCCAGATGGTACACCCGTCTACAAGGTAATTGTTTTTCGTTGGCTTGCTTATAAGTTTTGAATTTGTTGAGGCAGGAGCTAACCAGAATGTTTTACTTTCTTCTTCCTATAGGAAGCCTCGTTTGGCAAATTCGAGAGTGTTCCTGCCTGGATGATCGATCGAAAGGGCAAAAATGTAACATACGATTTGTTGACTTACGTCCCCAACTTCATCGTGAGTGTCGGCCTCCCAGACACCGAGGAAAGCGAGCTGTTTCAAGAGATTGCATTGGACCGACTCAAAGAGTTGAAGACTAAATGGGAGCTTGAAGACAAGGAGGCCAATCCAGAATCCGTCAAGCTCGAGTTCTTCACCGTCTATGCCTATCTGCTCGAATACGAACGTGCCTTGACCAATGACATGCCGCTGGTCCCCTTGACTTTCTACGTTATGCTGCTTTTCACATGCATCGTGTTCCACAGGCTGGGAATGGGCTCAGGAAAATCTCCAAACGGAATCGAACCCTCTCGGTTCTCGCTCGGAATGCTCTCTACATTCACAATCGGCATGAGTCTGATGACAGGTATGAAGCTGAATTTATTGCCGGGTTCGCACCTGCGCTCCGTGTCACTCTAACGCTTGTGTTGCACATTTCCAATTGGATAACAGGATATGGTCTCATGTTCTGCATTGGCATCCCATTCACCAACTTGTCGCAAATGGTCCCATTTATTATTCTGGGTGTAGGGTTAGTATCCAAGTTGGCACGAACATTGAGTTGCTTCCCTCCGAATACATTCCTCACGGCTTTCTTTCCTATTTCACTGCTTGCTTCTCGTCATTTCTATGCAGACTTGATGACACGTTTATCATCACAGGAGCTTACTTTCGCAAGCTTGCTGAAGAGAACCGACTAGAATCACCTGTTGGCGGCGAAGAAGACAGAGACGAAAACGAAATCATCACCGCGCGCATCGAGGAAACCATGGAAGAGGTCAGTCAAGAGTTTGTTGTGCTGCGCTCAAGGATTGCTTGCTCGTACTCTGTACTTACGAAACTTTTGTGCTGTGCAGGTCGGTCTAAGCATTGCTCTCACCACGACAACTACGACGTTTGCTTTCTGTTTGGGCTGTATGTCCACAATTCCTGGTATCCAATGGGTCTGCCTCTGTACGTATTGCCTGTACGTTGATTAGATTGGCTGGAAGTTTCAATCAAGCTCAACCGATTCCTTGTTGTATTTTTTATCCAGATGCCAGTGCCACAATCTTTGCCGACTTCATCTATCAGATTACTCTCTTTGTCGCTTTGTGAGTCAGATTTACTTGTTGAAAGTAACACGTCGTGGGTCGTTGCAAACCTGGTCGCTGACATAATCTATTGCACACATTTGACGTTGCTTATAGCCTGACGCTTGATGAACGGAGGATGATCCGAGCACGGAAGAACCAGGTCGGACGTGACTATCTTTACCTCGGCAATGTGTTTGGCAACATGCGCAGCGCTGCCCCCGACGACAGCAAATCGTACGATGGCAGCATAGTTTTCGACGATGACAGCAAGGAAGACGACAAGAGCTTGAAGAAGGAGACGGAGAATGACGCCGATGAACCATTGTTCACACAGAGAATCATGCGGTGGTACGCCGACCAACTCCTCCGACCCAGGGTGAAAGTAGCCGTCCTGGTAGTGTTTTCGGCATTGTTTGCCTTTTGTGTGTGGAGAACAACTCTACTGAAGCAAGCCTTCAACGTCGAAGACTATGTACCGGAAGACTCCTACACAAAGACGTTCTTTTCTTCGCGTAAGTTGCTCCAAATCGTTGTAGCGCACTCCATCTGAAGAATCATCCTAACAGTTCTCTCTGGTTCGTAGTCTCCAACTATTCCAGCTTGAAGCTCCCGTTGACTGTCTATTTCCGCAACGTGAATCAATCTGACCCCATCATCCAAGACCAAATGCGAGAATACATTGCTGCCTTGTCGGATCTGCCTCAAGTTCGACAGCCCCCAGATTTCTGCTGGGTCCGCGATCTGCACGCTTACATGACAGGAGAAGCCACCGAGGATATGGACGAAGACCAAGCCCGACAGGCCGCAATCATCGCGAGAGCGGTCACTGCAGGGAACAACACATTTTCCGAGCAGCTCGACATTCTGTTGAACATTCCAGTGATTCGCGACGTCTACGGCGGCGACATTGTGAGAGACGAACAGGGAAACATTCTGACGTCAAGGTGCTATCTTTTCGTCAGATACATTGACTTGAAAAGCATTCAAGAACAAACACAACTTCTCTATGATCAAAGGCAGATCACAGCGCTGTATCAACCCCGACTCGAAGGAGAGGTGGCCAATCGAGGGGAATTCTCCTTCTTCTCGTTCGATGAACTATTCTACTACTGGGAACTGGTATGTTCTTCTTGCGAATCATCTTGTATTCCAGTTGCCATGCTGCAGTTCGACCCTTACGCTAGGCCTTACCATTTCTTGGCTTGTGTGCCTGTGTCTTCAGTATACTGTTTCCGTGGACGAGCTGGTGAGTAGCCGAAGCAAAGCATGCGAGCGATGGCCTGGAAAGGCATCAAACAATTCACTTATCAAATAAACTCTCCTTGCAATCCTTTCAGATATTCACCACGATCTCCGGAGTGGTGGCAGTCAATGTCATTGGGTTCTTGCTGATACCTCATTGGACTGCTACGGCCTTTATCTTTCCCATCATCATCATGCTTTACTTCAACCTACTGGGTGAGTGGTAACATGCGTTTCGCTCTTGACCTGGCACAACGTGGTGAAAACCGCACTCTTGAAAGCGAAACGATTTCTGTCTCATCCTGGATTGCCTCTGTCACACCACAGGAACGTTGCAACTCTTCGGGGTGTTTATCAACGCAGTAACCTATGTCACGATTGTCATTGCTATCGGTTTGCTAGTCGACTTCCTCATGCACATCCTGCTGCGATACTATGAAGCAACTGGGACGACGAGGGAAGAAAAGGTCAAAGAAACCCTTGAAACAATGGGGGCCTCCATGCTGATGGGAGGCTTTACGACTTGGCTCGGTGTAATCCCGCTATCGTTGAGCTCCACGAAGATCTTCTACACAATCGTAAGTGCTGCAACGCATGATTCGGTGTGGCTGCAATAATCTGAGCGAGCGACGACAAGCCACACTGGCTCTAACATGCTTCTCTTTGCTCTTTGACGTTTCCTTCCATACCAGTTCGTGGCATTCATGGCCATGGTAACCTGGGGTCTACTGATCAGCTTGGTTCTCATGCCTGTGATCCTATCCATGTGTGGTCCGATTGTTTGCACGATTGCTCCCCGAGAGCCCCGTTCTCCGAAGCTGGACGCTGGCAAGAAAGCAACGACAAGAGCCCTGGGCGGCAAACCACAGAGCGAGAAATCCTTGGATGACGACAGCAGCCTAGAGGACGAGGAAGTCGCCACCAAAGCATGAAAACGATGAAGCCTTGCTCGGCAAAAACGCATGAAGCCACTATCATAGCCACTAGAACGCTCCGGCGGCTACCGTACTAGACTGCAACCAACCCCCCAGCTATTCAACTCGACTGGACAGTCTACCGTAGTTCACATTTGTACATAATCCATTACTTATCCCTCTCGCCAACAATCCAGGCTTATGATCAGCAACAATGATAAGCAGTGGATGCTTTCCGGTCACACTTGCTTACTCCAATCATTGGAACGAGATCCAACACATCCCTAATTCCAATTGGATCATAAACAAGTACACGTCAGTCCAGAGCGAGCTAGCTAGACACATGCTACCTACTCGCCTTCTACTAGCTAGCTAGTAGTAGACATACCGGTAGCCTTCGAAGTCCTTTTTTTTGTGTGGAATCGAATCGATTGTTGGGTCCCCTCTACGGGATTGGCTAGCTCTAGGTTCCGTACCGTACTAGCACCGTACACCGTTGGTACCGATCCTGGATACGACTGTAGCTCAAGATTTCGATTGAATGATCATTCGGGCCTGGAAGAAGACCAGTCATGGGTCATGGATGTTGCCAAATGAGAATTCAAGATAAAAATAACTTGAAGTGTTAAATCCTGCAGAGGCTTCGCAATTGACTTTCAGAGCTCTTTCAGTCGGTCGAGAGTGTTCATTATGCCATCTTGCCAGTTCCCTTTAATCGACTGATGCTCTCAATCGCTTTTACAATGAATTCTTTAATTCTTATCTTCAATTTTAATTTAAAAGCATTAAATTAGATTTTTCACTGCATACAACATTTTATTAAAGACAGAAATATTGTTAAATCATCCCTTGTCTTAGTCATAATTATCACTTAATAAACACTTTTCGCGAGTACTTCAGTCTGGCCTTTTCGACCGACATTCCAAGCATTACTCGGAGACTCGGAGTAGTAGTTGAATAGCTACCGCTAGTTGAATAAACTTTTCGATTGACATTCCAAGCATGATTTACAAATTTCCAATAAGTGCTCTTTTCAATAATTTTCATGATTTCCACATTTCCAAGTCTGTTAAGACAATAAGTGCTTTTTTCACTAATTTTACTTAACAATCCATTTTCGCAACTGAACGCTGGTATCCATCCTTTTACGATCTCATTCCAAGCATGATACCGACGCATTGAAAGGTATGGGTAATGAGAAATTCAAAGTTGACCTAGCCATGATTTCTTTCTGTTATCTGTTTGAGATGAGTGTTAAACCTATAGTTGCCTTTTGAAAGTAGAGCATTAACACCAAACCCGGTCCATATACCCACAAGTGAACGTTTTGGGGAGCTTAATGGAAATATTTAACGAAATGACTGAATGACTTAGAGGGCATGACTGAAAGAATGGGTATACACGAATGAGAATTTGCACGTTTCGAAATTGAAAATCGCTCGAAAACACTGCGTCACCACTTGGGGAGTGCTTTTTCTCCACGGCAAAGTGATAAAATCAAAAAACAAATGATACAGCCCCATGCAGCACAACAAGGGGCATGGGGCCGTAGCATTTGTTTTTGTGTTTTTTCATCTTTTCGTCAAGCTATTTCGCTCCCCAATTACAATACCAGACTCTTTCAATGAGTCGGTAGTCGTGTAGTCGCGAAGAGATGGCGGCACTCTCACCACCAAGACAAGTCGTGACTCATTCCTGTAAACTGCACGGTGTTCTTCAGAAAAGAACGATGCCATCTGTCCCATTTCCTTTTAATTAGAAGTTTCCTCACTCGTTTCTTGCGATGGTGAATTAATTAGTGACGTTTCTGAGGCATCTGTGTTCCTGGAACCTTCCTTGCAGTCATTTGCGCGAATAGACAGGGATATGAGGCAAAAAGCATCATAGATTGAAACAGCCCAAATCTGGCGACCCTCAACGGAACGGGTGTAGCCGTTGCTGTTGCAGTTCATCATCAAGCAAAGCCCTTTGCCGCCCAAGAGACCTTTTAGGCTTTAGGCTTTGAAGATACTAGCTTTCTAGATGGGATATCTGCTGGTTGGATATGGAAATTCGGAACAGGACTGAGCAAGAGCAAAAGCAAGAGCAGCCAAGCAACCAAGAAAACAAATCCGAGGAAGTCACCAGCCAGAAACCAGAAGAACTGTCTCTTGAGGTGCGAGCTTCTTTTTGCTTGTTTGCTTTATGAAAGGGTATCTGTGCTATTCACCGTACCAGTGGCACTGTGCATGCTTGCATGCAGCCATGCATGCGGTACTATTACATGCCTACTACATGCCTACTAGTAGATACACGTACTAGTAGCCTTTCTCATGATAACTCTACAACTATAATGTGTAGTACTGAGTCGAGTAGTAGGCAGCAATAATGAGGGTTGGAGACCGCAAGGTCACTCCGAAGTTAGGAAGAGCAAGGTATTATTACGACATGTATGTGGCTTCAGCAGATGAATCACAATACTGGAGTAGTCGAGCGAGGTACTGTAGTGGATTTGGTAAACCTTTTATTTAGGCTACTAGAGAGAAAAAGATGCTAGTAGAGGTAAGCGAAAGAGAGGCAGTCGCCAAAGCAGCCATCCACTGGTACCGTCTGCAATCTTTGGCTGGGTTCTCAATCCCTCGATCCAATAGTACAGTAGACAGACAGCCAAGGCAACTTGTTCCCACTCGCCTGGATGAATCCTTGTCTCATCGATCATCTTGCTCGAGCTTGTATGGTCCTAGAACTACCTGCATGTGGAAGCCTGGCTAGCTGGGGGCTAGCTGGTAGGAAGAAATCCTTGCTCGCGAGCAGCTGTAGCAATTTCCCAGCAAGCAAGATTTCCAAGTCTGAAAATGATGTCTTGGATCTCTAGCTAGATCTAGCTAGCTAGTAGTAGGCAATCTAATTGCTACCTTGCTGGCTGGCTGGCAAGCAAATCCAACGCTTCCAACCCTTGTCTTGGATACCGGAGCGGCTTGGGCACAGTAACCTGTCTTTGAAACTTGCTTGCATAAAAGCCAAGAAGCTCAAAGATCGCCAACACACTTTGATTGCCGAGTGGTACCACTACCATGGCAATCCGGGCAAGTACTATCGGAAGGCACAGCTAGATCGTCGTGGACCTGGATGTGATGTGGAGTGTGGTAGATCGTACTGTTGCGACTAATAGCGGTCCGCGCAAATAATGAATGGTTGTTAATACCCCAGTTCCCAATCTTGTGAAATTGGTTCACTGTGACCCCTCAGTAGTAATCTAATTCTACTTTTTTACACTAGATCTACTATTAGGAGTTTTTTAACAGTAGGAGTACATACTGTAGTGTACATTCAGTACTGTATTCTACAGTAGTATTTAAGACAACTGGCAAGCAACTGACGATGCCATGGTGCTCGTCATCGTCCCAAAAAAGTCGCACCTCATTAGATAGCATCCCATGCAGTTTTGCGCCTCCGCCTCCGCTCACCAAACAGTCATTGTAGGCTTTGGTGAGACTGGTACGCTGAACAGTAGACTGGTACCAGTAATCATACTACTCTACTACTATTCTGCTCTTGTATTCAGGCACAAGCACGAAGAGGACACCTTGGAAGCGGCAGAAGAAAGGCAACCTTGCTTGCAGTAACCATCATCATTTGTTTCATTAATTTGTTGGCTCCTCAGTTTTGTGTTGGTTTGCTTAAGTTTGGTTCTGTTGCGTGGTCTCTACTAGCTAGCTAGTGACGAGAAGAGAGACAAGGATCTGAACTGATTTGACGAGGATTACGGTGGTTGAGTTGAGTTACTTGCAGTGAGTGTGACTTTGGCTGAGTTGGCTGTGCTGTGCTGAGTTGACTTAGGCTTTGGCTTTGCGAACCTCGATCTATCGATCTCTTCAAGACAAGGACAAGAAAGACGCTTACAAGACGAGACAAGACGATCCAGGTCATTTGTGATTTGACTTAAGGTAAAGAGGATCAGACAAGATGGACTCTGAAGACAATGGCACCCTGAATACGGGAGAGACAGCTAGCAGCAACAGCAACACCAGCGGCGACACTCCCAACAACCCTGCTGCTGCTACTACGACTAGTGCTAGTGCTGCTCCAGCTGGTGCTATTGGAATGAATGGCAATGGCACTACGACTATGCCTACTCGATCTGCTATTTCTACGACTACGACACGTACTACGACACGTACTACTGGTGGTGGTGAAATGGTGGACGATTCTCGTCGCTCCGTGGTCCACTTTGACGACACGACGAGCATTCGCTACGAAGAAGCCAGTGAAACGGCCGATCCCTATTGCATGCCCGTGGGCAGTCAACAAGGACTCACACAAGTCCGTCGTCGTTCGTCGATGCGTGCGTCGATTGGAGCCAATCCGGTCCAAGGAGGATCTCCTCATGGACTGGGATATCACGAAAACTGTCCCGTTCACGGCACGCCGGATGTCAATATGCGAGATCCACTCAATCCGTATTGGACGTACTGTACCCAACGACTGCTCCAATTCTTTTCCGACTTTGTCACATTCTTTGCCCTGCATGCTGTCAAGTACCCCAAGTATTGGTTGTGCGCCATTACACTCGCTTCCTTTACGCTCTTGACGGCTGGATTCTTTACCGGATTCAAATTGGAGCTCGATCTCGATCAGATCTTTACACCCATTGGAAGTCGTCCTCAATTTCACAATCAATGGATTGTCTCCAGTGAAGGATTCCCCGAAGATACCCGTCATGTCCAACTCATTTTCCACGCTCACGGATACAATGTCTTGCATGCTCCACAGGCGCGTCGTGTATTGCAGGCATTGGATGTGATTCGGACCCAAACACCCGGCTATGCCGAATTGTGTAAACAAGGCATTTATCAAAATTTTGATGACGAGTATACCTGTCGGACCATGAGTATGAGTGGTTTCTGGCCCAATCATTCATTGCCGGTATTTGATGACACGGTCGGTGATGACGACGATGCGTTGCGTGCCATTATCAGTGGCCGACAATTCAATGATACGTCGCCCGTCGTTCACGATTTGATTGTCGGCAATTACGTCCGGGATCCTTCCACACGCATTCTGGAATCCGCCCAGAGTTATATGGTCCAAGTCTATTTGCCCAACAAGGATGACACCAATTCGTTCGAGTCGAATATGCTCTCCAATCTTGCCGATTTAAGACAGCTGTGGATGGACGAAGATGCTGATACGCCGTATGAAGCCCGGACATTCCTCACCGTCGATATGATGACGGTCTATGCCTTTCAACTCGAGTTGTTGCGGACCATTTTCAACGACTTGTGGCTCGTCCCCATTTGTCTCTTTTTAATGGTCTCCTGTACCTGTCTCATCTTTTATCAACATGGCGATCGCGTCCAGTCGCGCAGCATGTTGGGGTTGGCCAGTGTGGCCACCATTTGCATGTCGGTCTTTACTGGATTTGGAATCATGTTTCTATTCAAGATACCCTACACGGCGGTTCATCAAATCTTGCCCTTTGTCATTTTCGGAATTGGACTCGATGATACCTTTATCATTACGGGAGCGTACTTTCGAACCGATCCCAATGAACCCATTGAAGATCGGATCCGCATTACCATGCAAGAAGTCGGGCCTTCCATTACCCTCACGACCGTCACGACCATCTTTGCCTTTACGCTGGGACGCCTCACGTCCAGTTTGCCAGGAGTCCATTGGTTGTGTGTTTGTAAGTATCATATCAACCATGAAAAAGAAGAAAGTCAAGTGATGGTTGATTGCTTGTACATGCGCATGCTGACAGAACCTTGTTTGTTTGCTTGCTTGCCTTTTTGATTCACACAGACGCTGTGACGGTCATTATCTTCATCTTCTTTTACCAAATCACATACTTTGTCGCATTCTTGGTACTCGATGAGCGTCGCCTTCAAGCCAATCGACGTGATTGTTGCTTTTGGCAGATTGAAGATCGAGAAGGAGACGAAGCCGATACGGATGATGATGAACCAGAGGCTGCCTTGGAACCCAGCAACAATGCCAACGGGGATTCGGCCACTACTGGTACCACCATCTCCACCATTCCCAGTGGCAGTGCCGTGAGCATTCCCACTGCCATGAACAGTCGCAGTGGTGCTGGCCGACGCACCAGTACTCGTCGACCCAGCGATGCCAGCTCCAGCCGCGGTGTTCTGGATCCCATGGACGACAGTGACGTGTCGGCCCTCTTTGGCGGTACTCCCGTCATGGAAGATTGCAGTGTCCGTCTGGGAGATTGTTTGGGCTGCAGTGCTCACATTATCGCCCAGCGCAGTTCCCATTTCATGGTCGATCACAGTCGACGATCCATGGTCGATCACAGTCGGCGATCCATGGTCGATCACAGTCGACGATCGGATGTGGATTTCAGTCGACGACGCACCAGTGGTATGGGCACCATGCCAGCCATGGCCGATGAGAGTATCCGAAGTACCATGAGCATGAGTGTCAAGGATGCGCGTGCGGCTGGAATCATCCCCAAGACCGTGGCGGACGAAGAATACGAGCGCCGCCGCATGCCCGTCCCATTGAGAATGATGCGCTGGTACTCCAACTTCCTCATGAGGCCGTATGTCAAGATTGCCGTGTTGGTCATCTTTGCGGCCTTTTTCGGTCTCAACTGTTACAGTGCGACGCTCATGAAGCAGCACTTTAACGTGGCCGATTATGTTGCCAATGACTCCTACTTGAAGGGCGTCTTTACCAGCTTGGAATTGTACTCGTCCATCACCCGCCCCATGGGAGTGTACTTTCGCGACATTAATCAGTCGGACCCGGACATTCAAATGCAGATGATCGAATTTGTGAACCAAGTGGAAGAGCTGCCTCAGATTGGAGGAAAGTCCAACTTGACTCTGGAAGAAGCAATAGCAACGGATACTCTTCGTCCTTTCTGCTGGGTTCGTGATCTGCAAGAGATCTTTGCCGAGGCCGAAAACCACCCAGACGAATACATTGCGAATACGTTCAAGTCATGGACGTTCAACGAGAGGCTTGACTTTTTGATGACCAGCAAAGCCATTGAAGCCAGGCTATTCCGAGAAGTGTACGGTCAAGATATTGTTTTCGACGAGGATGGAAACATCAAGGCTTCCAGGTGCTACTTGTTCCTCCAGAATTTGGATCTCAAGTCTGTTACGGCTCAAATGGACATGCTCCTCGACCAGCGAAACGTCACGCAACGTCAGCCTCTCAACCAACTCCCGGAGCATAGCGAGGAGTGGGCCATGTTCAATTTCGAAACGCTCTTTTTCTATTGGGAAGCATTTGTTGTTGCGGTGGATGAATTGGTCATGACCATTATCAGTGGAGGTAAGCGTTCGCGAGTTGGCTGGGTGTTGTTGCTTTTGACTGTTGCGGTTATCTCACTCTTTGTCTCTCGGAACTTTTTACGCGAACAGTCATTGCGGTGACGGTCATTGCGATTATTTTCATTCCTCATTGGTCGGCGGCTTTCTTCGTCTTCCCCATTATTATGGTGCTCTACATTGACATGCTTGGTACCATTCGCTTCTTTGGTCTGGACATCAATGGGTTGACCTACATTTGTATTGTGGTGGCCGTTGGGTTGTTGGTTGACTTCTTGATGCACGTTCTCTTGCGATTCTACGAATCTCGTCCGGATCAAAGCAGGGAAGATCGAGTCAAGGAAACTCTTCAAACCATGGGAGTCAGTATTTTGGTCGGCGGTTTCACTACGTTCCTGGGTGTTGTGCCTTTGTGCTTGAGTGCCATGGAAGTCTTCAAGACGGTCTTTTACTCCTTCTTTGCCATGGTGTTTTTGGGTTTGACGCATGGATTGATTGTCATGCCTGTAATTCTTTCCTACGTGGGACCCAAGATGGCGGTCCGAGGGCACCACTTGGCACCCAAGCCTGACTTCCCGGTGAGTGATCCACCACCACCTCCCCGCCGTGCCAGTCTTGTTAAACACAGCGCACGCAGAAGGTCATCGACAACAGCAACTCGCCGTGAAGAATCGCCGCCTCCATCCGCACCCATGACAATGAGCGCCATTAAGGAAGACCCCAGCATGAACAATAGCATGAACAATAGTGGCTGGGATAGCAGCGCGTTGCTGGCCTGTGCAACAAACGAGGTCGAATGTTAAAGGCTGCATCGCACCGATATTTGCGGTTTGCTCCTCAATTTGACCTTTGAGGTCGAAGGAGGAGTTTGAGCCTGTCTTTCTTTGAATGTCTGTTGAACGAATGTCGTCTCTTCGAGTTAGCGAAGAGATTCACACACACGAGTTACATGTTTCACGTTAATTCTTCCCACATAGCAGAAATAGTTTTTGATATTGCGTTCTTGCAACCTAGCTAGCCAAGCGGGGATGCGTACTGTTGTATTTCACTGCTGGGTTGACTGGACTGGCCGTGTGGACCTGCAAGCGAAACGCCAGTGGCAGATGACTTGTTGACAGGACAGGTTTGATGTGAACCAACTGCGTTGCAGGCGAGCAGGACAAGGCCAAGCCTTTCAGGATATACCGTAGTCGTAGAACAGATTGGCAGGACCAGCCACAGCCTTGGCTTGTGAAAATGCTCCACAGAGACACCTCCATGTACTTTTTTGGAGCGACACTTGATGTCTCCGGATTTGGATGCCATTCGACAAGGCACTTATCTTCTCATAGAGATTGAAGGGTTCTCCTTGAAACAGAACTTTGGATTGTCAATCTTTCGTCAATTTTGGACAGAGGTTGCGTCCGTCTATCCCATCTTTTGGAAACAGATCAAATACTTTCATTCCGGTGTCACCTTCAATTCACTCTTGTCCATGGTACGGCAGTATCTTCCAGAGCGAGTCCACAGGAAATTTCAGATGGGCTGCATATGCGAAATGGGACGGCTCGATCGTCTCTACCTGTTGCCAGATATGGAGCGTGCACAGGAACGGTTCTTTCGAGTGGCTGATGGCTGCCTGTCTCGAATTACGCTACGAACAAGTTGCCACGTTTACGCTCTAGTAGCGGCTAAATTTGGTTTGGTTTCCGGTTTCCCAGTCAACTGCCTTTGCCTTGGAAACACCGCACTCTCTCTAGTCTACTTGTTTCAGTTTTGTTGATAATGCCAAATGTATGTGATTTTGTCGTTTCAACCAGAGTCGAGTCGAGTAGGCTCGGGAAGAGGAGCCGCGGCTGAGGACCGACATTTGGGGGGTCAAGCAAGCAATATTACGCCAGTCATCTAGTCTAGCTATTAACACCGTAATTTACCATTTGGGGATAGCTCTTCGTTGACGCTTCGTGTTAGCTAGCTAGAATACCTAGACTTTTGCTTTGGGTTCTCTATGCCACGTCCGTTTTTGGGTCCCTCCAGTCAACTACTAGCTAGTACTGTAGACACGATACCGTATAACTAAAGTACAACCGTAGTCACATGGTAGAGGGTATCATTCTACCTTTACCGTACCGTACAGTACCAGGTACCTGTACCGCATCGCTAAGCTAAGTTTGGCAGTACGGTATGGCAATCGCAATTATGATACGGTACGGTAAGCTTTGAGTTATCACAAATATTATTATATCATACGTCTCTCGGATCTCGCATCTTGCGGGTTGTCGTAGCTTGTCACAAAGGATTTAATGGCACCGAGCCGCTGGGTGGGTGGAGAAATCCAGTGCCATCCAGTTCCAATCACAAAGGTATACCAGTAAACCTTGATCAAGCCAGTGGTAAACCATACCGCCCTATGAAACGGTCATTTGTTATTCGAAGGGAAATGACATAACAGTGATGGTATTAATTTAAAAATAGCAGAACTGGTATTTTAAAATAGCGGTAGTAAACAGTGTTAAAAGACAGTGGTGAAAGAGCCGTTTAAAGAGTGACCATTGATTGGTGAAACAGGGGCCAGCAGTGCCATTGATTTTCTCCATCCACATTGGGTTGAGAGCGGCTTGGATTCCGTCACTAACAAATAACACGGAGACACGTCGGCCAGGCATACTTTAGTTTTTTTAATAGCTAAATAAATATCGATAAGACATCAACTCAAACCGTAGAGCAGAGAGTAGGTGCTAGAGCTTGCGTAGATGGTCTCATATGGGAGGATAGGATTGGGTATCTCGTGTGAGAGGAGTCAACGTATGGCACGCGGATTGGATCTTTACTTATTAGGCTTGCTTTCGATCGCCATCTGGTGCTATGTGTGGTGTGTGTTGTTGTGTGTGTACACTATCCCACATCCCTAACATGCAAAAATTTGG